GGGGCTGTAACAGCCTGCCCAGCCAGGGTGGGGGGATGTTACTCAGGGAGGAGGGTGGGGAGGTATGGGATACAGGCATGGTAGCACTGAGAGTGTGGTCTCTGCCCTGCTGCCACTTGCCCAGCTGGAGTGGGGGGCAAGATGTGGGCATGGCTCGCTCCAGATGGAAGGGAGTAAGCAGCAGCAAGACATAGCCCCCACTCCCAGCGCTGCCATGCCCACATCCCACACCCCCCCACACCAGCTGGCAAGTGGCAGGAAGGCAGAGCCCCCACTCCCAACACTGATGTGAGCACGGCAGCACTGGGAGTGGGGCTATGCTCTGCTGCCGCCTGGAGCAAGCTGTGCCAGCATCACAGCTCCCCTGCACTGGTTGAGTATACAGCAGCAGGGCAGAGCCCCCGGGGCTCCCCCCACTGGGGCAGAGGCAGGCACAGCTGGGGAAGCTGCGGCAGAAGCCCCATGGCTGCCCTGCCCAGCCCCTTCCCCCACCTGGCCCAGCCTCCTGGTCCTTTAAAAACAACAACAAAAAAAGCCCTGTACTCACTGGCTGCAGGAACAGTGTTTGGGGCCTCTGGGTGCTGGTGGCAGATCCCCCCAGGCAGCGCAGGGCAGTGGGGGGCAGCAGGGATTGCCCCTCCACCTGGCATCTGTGCGGCAGCTGCCCCATGGCATAGGTGCAGCATGGCTTGGCCTGGTGCTGCACACTGTCTGGGAACTAGGGCCACTGGGGCAGAGTGGTGCTGGGCTCTGGCAGACACGTGGAGCTGCCCCAGCTCCCAGGTGAATCTAACTGGGGGATGGGGAATTGAACAGGGAATTGGGGAATCAAACTGGAGGTGGGGGAATTGAACCGGTTTGATTCCCCAGCTCCCAGTTCAATACACCTGGGAGCTGGGGTGGCTCCACTTGTCAGCTAGAGCCCAGCAGCGCTCAGCCCCAGTGACCCCAGCTCCCAGACAGTGCACAATGCCCTACTGAGCCATGCTGTACCCGTGCCATGGGGTAGCTGCCACGCAGGGGCCAGGGGGGGCAATGCCCACTGCCCCACTCTGCTACCAGTGCCCAGAGGCCCCAGTTGCCAGTCCTGCAGCTGGTGAGTGTGGGGCTTTTTTTTTTTAAGTACCAGGAGGCTGGGTGGGTGGGGGATGGGGCCAGGCAGGGCAGCCATGGGGGATTTTCCCATGGCTCCCCCCACCTGGGAGAGGCAGGCACACACAGAGGAGCTGTGGGAGAACCTGCAGGTGCCTGGCTGTGCCTGCCTCTCCCCAGCCAATCCAAATCACCAACTCTCTCCTAATCAGCACCAAATCTTCCAAAGCTGATTCGGCCAAATCAATTCAGGACCATGATCCAAATCTCCAAATCGAGTCACTGTCCTCTGAATCAGCCGAATCTGAACCGAATACTTCCCTATTCACATAGGCCTAACATTTACACTTGTATTTCTTTATAAGATTACATGTAAATGACCCTGTATAAGCAGTGAACACGTTGCAGTAAAATGTAGAGACAGAGAACAGAAAGGACAAAATAGCAAGGAGGAGAACTGTGGGTGTCTAGAGGCTGAAAGATGTAGGAGAGCAATAAAAACATTTCTGTGTTTGAAACTTGCATTTCAGCTATGCTCTTTGTGAACACCAGAGTCCATAATAGTGACGTCATAGATCTGAGGCCAAATACAGCACATGAAAAGGAATGCTGTAATTTAATTTGCAAATGATGTCCCTTCTAAATTGTAGCCTAAGTATGTTGTGAGCTTTTCCAGGTCAGCTTGCTGAGAAGGCTTTGGTTAAATGGTAAAGAAAGTTCTTGTTCATTGTTAGTGGCGCGCCTTGGACACAAATATGCATACAAATGAATGGTATATAAATAAGTTTTCCAAAGTTTGTCTGACACATAACAAGGTTTGCTTTCTGGTATCCAGCTAAACTTAAAACTTAATATTTGTTTTCCATGAATTAACTTAAAAAAAAGCAACCTGAAAATCTAACCATGTATTCATCATACTCAACAGACAAAAGGAACAGGATTTACTGCTATTTGCTATATTTTTGTTGCTCGTACTGAATGCAGTAGTAACACATTCTGTGACTGTACGAATGGTTTAGTTTTGTAGTTTCTAATTTTAATTATGTAACAAGTGTTTTTACACTGCATCTCAATTAAAAGTTCTGTAAGGAAGCTGAGTGATTTAGTATGTGTACTCTCATTTCAAACTGAGATCTCTAGGAAAAAAAAACACAGAGTTGAGCACCATGAATTGCAAATACCCTCTAATGCTAAGAATTTCCCTTTCTCATATATAAAATCTTGTTTCCCAATAAGGTGTTGCATGCAAGATGGAGGGAGGGTGGGGGCTAAAGGAAAAAGCCTAAAGCAAAATGTAAGGACCCAGAATTAACACAGTTAATTGAAACAATATTTTGTCTTAAGTGGAATGAATTTGATTTTTCTGCTTGTGTAGTGATGTGTATTAAGTAGATAATAGTTGTGTTTAAGGGCCCAAACATATGAAACTATCAGTCTATTCAGTATTATGTGCTAGAACTGTGGTAAGTGTCCTTGTTTCTTTCCCTGGAGGGCCCTTTCTTTTTGTTCCTTCCCCATATTCTTGATGGCTGGAAGGAGGTGTGTGGTTCTCTCACTAACTTTTCCTTCTCCTGTATGTATGGTGGAGGACTGAGCCAGGGAAGTTTCACCAGTCTTTTTTTCACAATTCTGTGCATGGATTGGGGACTTACCCAGGCTAGATTCTTTGCTATCTGTCCTCAGAGCTGAAAATAGTAGAAAAGAAATCTACACTCTTCTTTCCTCTTCTCCATGTAGAAGAAACAGGGGCTACAATATATTCTGCTGGATATTTCTGCTTTGAGTACAGCAGGGAAATGTGTAATAGCAACTTTCAGTCCTATAGCAATTTATCAGTCCTGTTATTCATTCCCCTGGCATAGTCAACAGGAGAGAGTTCTAAGTAGACAGTTAATGTTGATTTCTGCCAGAAAGGAAATTGCATTGACCAGCAGCACATCCTAGTAAAGCTAGTCAGGATTTTTTTTTTCATAGAAAAAACTGTCTCGTTGAAACCTAAACTTCTCACAGAAACATCTCAGTTGTGAAGGTTTCTTATATCCAGCAATTGAGACTTTCAGGCATTTCCATTAGCCTTGTTTTCAGGTAATGATATGGCCATGAATATTCTCTGTAAACTAAAATTTTAATTTCCCATCTAAGCTCGCAGTTTATTTTGTTTAGAAATTATAAATATTTGTTCAAATGTTTTGAGTGATAAAACTGGGTGCATCTACGTGTGAGCTTTACTATGGAGTCGCTAATTAGCTCCGCAGCAGTGACATTGTCTACATGTGTGCTGGTAT